GGTAAAAGTCATAGAGTCTACGAGAGACAGAAATTGTGTTAGGAAGAAAGACGTTTGGTGTCTGGGAGATGAAAAGTGTTTTTGAAACGGAGAGGGTGTCTTCAAAGAAACCGTTTTAATCAGACTACATGAAGGTGATAAACAAGTCTTTTGGGAGATAACAACGGTGACACGAGAGAAATAGAGAAGCGGGCGAAGGAGGAGAGAGAGAGGGGAGGAGGGAGGGAGAGAGAGAGGGGGGAGAAAATGAATAGAGAGAGAGAGAAGGAGAGTGAGTGAAGAGAGAGAGAGAAGAGAGTGAGTGAAAGAGAGAATGAGAGTGAGTGAAGAAGAGATGAAGTGACTGGGAGAGAGAGACAGGAGCATGAAAAAAGGAATGAAAAATGCCATAAATCGACGAAGGAAGGAATAAGAAGAAAACCGTCAACCAAATGTCACCTTTTATGGCGTGACATAAAAGGCAAATGAGATTCATGGCAACACTGCACTCTGTCCTTAAACGGATATGCCTTCATCAGTAAGAATAAATCTTTCTCTCTGTCTATTTATCTGCTAATCTGAGTGACGGTTGTCTGTCTGTCTGACTGGCTGTATGCCTATATTTTTATGTCTATCTGTCTATCACATACACACACACAATCAAATAAACACAAACATGTGTTTATTATTCCTATTTTTTGTTCTGTTTACTTTCCTTTTTCCAAGTTTTGCATCAACTGCTATTTGAATGTTTTGCACTAATTGAATAAAATAATTTAGATTTCTGTATCGATTTCAAACGTTTAAGAAATAGAATTCGCCATTTATTTCGCAAAATCCTGCGATGCTTACATATTACATCTTATTATATACTTTATATGTTTTATCAGATAATAGGCAACAGTCATCATAGGAGATAGGCCTATCTCATAGGAATATAGGCCTATCCTTGTACCGTCCTTTGACCCACCTGTGTGTCTTTGTGAGGGGATGGGGTAATTACCTCGGTCAACAATAATTAAGCTCATTAACGTAACTGAACTCATATCGGATGATCTAGGAATAGCATGAAATAAGAATACATTACTGTAATTAGATAAGGAAGCACGGACAGTAAGACTAACCATAATGCCTTCGCGATAAATTGCAGGTAATTCCACTATTTTTTGACAAGAATACCACGAAAAAGATACTCTAACTATATGATAATCCTCGTCTCTTCTGGAATAAGAGCCACGCCCCCCCCTCCCCCGCACCCCATCCTCTGGGCACTGGGCACCCGAGGAGCCACGAGGGACGCCCATAAGGACCGCGTGGCAGGAATGGTGGTCAAAGGAGCCTCCCTCTCTTTTACCCGTCTATTGGCCTCCCTGACATCTATCCCACAACTTGCCACGTCTCTATCTTTATCTTTGAGCACCGCTTTTCTATCATCATCATTTCTATCACCTCTTTCCTATCATCATCTTTTCTATCACCTCTTTATCCTACTCTTCACTCACTCGCTTGCTGGCCTCCAAAAACAGTCTGTCGGCACGATGAAGCTCGTCCTGCTGCTGGTCCTGGCCTTGTCCGTGGCGAGCGACGGACACCCGACGCCCCGCGGGCTGGAGGGCTCCGACGCGTCGCCAGGAGCCAGGTGCTGGCAGGAGGCGGCCCAGAAGCCCGCGTGCGGGACTTCCAGCTTCGTCTCCGCTTCCTCGGCCACCGCTGCGTCGCGAGGCAGCTGGACGGCGCATCCCCGCGACGCTGTGCCTGAACAGATTGTAGATTCTGTGAAATAAAGAATTATTTAGACTATTTTCTCTTTCGCTTGAGCACTGTGGGTTTACTTAGTGTTACAATGATATAGACAAACAACCAAAAACAGCAAACATTTAATTAACTATTACGTAAATATTTATAGTAACCATTGGGAGCTTTACCAGGTATTAGATTGTATTTTTCGTTTGAGTAGCATTGGTGCTGTATAAATTCTAAGCATTAATGAAAAAAATCAAATATCATATATGCTAACATAAAGACAGCCGTGAAATGTCACTATATTCACTATATAATTCTTGGAACAGTGAGACGTTACCTTGAGACTTTATGGGATTATACACACCCATGTTCAATTTAAAAATCTATTTCAATTATGGACCCTTCAATAATTCCCAGCGAATCAAACCACCTAAATACGAACTATGAACCGATTTCAGAATATTTCAGTTTTCCTTTCTTGCAGTTTCTTGTCCTTTTATATTTTCGTTAATTGAGCAAACTCCAGAATTTGTTTATGCAATATTTTTGTCTTCAAAAATAAACAAGAATAAACACCGTAACATAATCACAAAAAATAAAAATAAAAATAGTCACAATGAGAATTTTTATTTCCAATTCTCATTGTGGCTGTTTCATTATATGAATTAATTGGCTTATTTTACGAACCTGATATTTGGGTGAGTTCCTAATGATTTCTGGAAATATTAATTGAATGAATTACCACGTTTAGTTCTCAATTATTATTGTAACATACCAACTACACCAATAATATTCAAGCCAAAATATAACATAGCCTAAATAATTCTTTATTTCACAGAATCTACAATCTGTTTGTGCACAGCGTCGCGGGGATGCGCCGTCCAGCTGCCTCGCGACGCAGCGGCGAGGAAGCGAGACGAACTGAAGTCCGCACGCGGCTCCTGCCGCTCCTGCCCGCACCTGGCTCCTGGCGACGCGTCGGAGCCCTCCAGCCCCCCTCCAGCCCCCTCCAGACCCCTCCAGACCCCCCCAGACCCCCTTTCAGACCCCCTCCAGACCCCCTTTCAGACCCCTCCAGACCCCCCTCGCGTCGGGTGTCCGTCGCTTGCCACGGACATGGCCAGGACCAGCAGCAGGACGAGCTTCATCGTGCCGACAGACTGCCTTTGGGCCCCGGAAGGAGCAGGGGTGAGGGGCAGAAAGGCGGGAAAGGGGAAGGATAAAGAGGTGAGAGAAAAGATGATTTAATCAGAGAGAAAGGCACGGGATTTGAGCCAGCGTACAAGTTGTGGAGAGGCGACAGGGAGCCGAAAGTCGGATAAAGGTCAGCAGAAGAGAAGCTCCCTTGACCTCCAGTCCTGTCCTTATTTCCTCCCTCCTCCCTCCCCTCTCCATTCCTTCCCCTCCCCCCCCCTCTCTCTCTCTCTCTCTCTCTCTCTCTCTCGCCTTCCCCCTTCTCATCCTCTCCTTCCCCTCCCCTCCCTTCCCTCCCCTCTCCATTCCTTCCACCTCCCTCCCCTTCTTCCTTNTTTATATAAAGATGTTGCTTACTATAAGATGTTACATTTTAAAGATGTTATTTTTTCAAGATGTTGCCTTTTAAAGATATTTTTTCAACATCATATTTCTTAAATATGATACTTTTAAACATAATGGTTTTAAAAGACGTTTCCTATATTTTTGCGCTTTTAAATCATCCACAAGGGACTTTTATTAACAGGACGAAGATAAAGATCAATGATAATTATAGTAAAATCGGATTGCTGATAAGGGCGTTAATACCATGACTTTGATGAAGATGATGTGATATTGATAATAGTAGTAATAGCGGTAATAATGGAATCAGTCTGTTAACTGTAGGTGAAGTGCCTGCACAGTAGTGGTAACAGCAGTAATAATGATGATAGAAATGATAACAGTGACAATGATAATAATAGTAGTAATGATAACCATAATAATGACAATAACAATAATAATAATGATAATAATAATAATAAAAAAATAATGATAGTAATAATAATGATAATAATAATGATAATGATAATAATAATATCAAAAATAATAAGGACATTATAATGATTATAATAATGATAATGATGATGGTTGACAACAATTGCAATAACCAACAATATTTTAGTAAGTTAATAGTTATAATGCAACACACAGAAAAAGTAAAAAGATGCATAGTAACAACACAATTAAATTAAAATGATAGTTGTTATCATCATTTAATAACTTTATTTCTATTTTCCTATGCATATCAATCTTCTATAATTAATAGTATTATATTAACGATAGCGTTAGCAATAACTACAATAATCATTACAGCGATGAAACCAAGAACAAGGATAGTAAATAAATAATCATAAGATAATAAAAAAAGAAATAAAGTAAAAGACAGAGAAATAGACAATAAAATTTGACGCAATGTTACCTCCTCCTCGCCCTAAATCAAACTGACAGCGCCATTCCATCAGCGCGCAGACGACGCTCCTGTCCCCTGGCGGCTGTTGGCGAAACTATAAGCGAGTCGCGCCGAAGAGACCGCCTCGGAAACATCCCTTAGGATTGGATGCGAAGAGCGATGGTTCCGAAGAGAGTTCGATTCCGAGGGAGAAGGAATTCGATTCTTCTTTTCGTGGGCTTGGTGACGCTTTTTTGTTAATTATTGTCTTTGGGATTTATAGACGTGGCGACTTCGTTGTGTAAGATATTATTTTTTATGTAGTCTGGTGCGAGAGTAAAAGAGGAAAGTATTTTCTTTTTGAGTGAATGTTACGGGAATTGATATTGTTAAAAGTGTGTGTTCGTATCTCTCCTCTTTTCTCCCTTCTCTCCAGATATATGTATGTATGTGCATGTATGGATATGTATATATATGTGTGCGTGCATGCGTGTGTGTGTGTGTGTGTGGATATATATAATATATATATATATAATATATATATATAATATATATATATATATATATATATCACACATATGTATATACATGTGTATGTGTGTGTGTGGATATATATATATTATATATATATATAACGTGTGTGTGTTGTGTGTGTGTGTGTGTGTGTGTGTGTGTGTGTGTGGTGTGTGTGTGTGTGTGTGGTGTGTGTGTGTGTGTGTTGTGTGTGTGCGTGTGTGTATGTGCGTGTGCGTGTGTGTGTGTGTATGTGTGCGTGTGTGTGTACATATGTATGTACGTATATATATGTGTATATATATACATATATATAGCAAATTCTTTAAAAGGAATCCACATACGATTGAAACCAGGAATACAGAATAACCAATAATTTATTCATATCAAACCTTAACACTTCCTCACACATAATAAATATGATAATAAGAATAAATAGAATAAGACCCCCTCAAAAAGGAGCGGGGAGGAGCGAGGTCAAGATCCCTAGGCCAGGTAAGGGCAATCGTCACCCTGGTAGGTCACGTGGAAGAGGCTGAGGTCAATCCCGTTGTTGGCGAAGGCCTGGCGGGCGGTGGCGATGACCTCCTCAGAGGGGACCTGGGCGGGGTCAGGAGCCAGGCGTACTGCCACTGGGGAGGGGGAAGAGGGAGACGGTGAGGAAGAGGGGAGGGAGGAAAAGGTGAGATGGGGAGGGAAAGGTGGAGGAGAATGGAGTAAGGAAGAGGGGAGATTGGAGAAGAAGAGGGGAGGTGGAGGAGGAATGAAGTAAGGAAGAGGGGAATGGGAGGTGGAGGAAGAGGGAAGTGAGGGGGGGAAGAAGTAAGGAGAGGGAGGAAGAGGGAAAATGAGGAGATGGAGAGGGGGAAGAAGATGAGTACGAGGGAGAGGGTAGAAGGGGGGAGAGGGGAGGGGTAGGAATGGAAATAGTGAAGAAGGTAGAAAAGGGAAAAAAATTAGGAGAGGAAGAAGGGAGAAGAGGAGGAACGAAAATCTTTAAAGCATAATAGATTAGGCTATTACTAAAAAAAAAAAAAAAACTATATATACATATTTCTTTAAATCATAATAAATCGAGCATAATCAATTTCTTCATATCAACCTTTCCTTTACAACTACAACCGCTAAACTCACGTGGTAGTCTCCCTCTTCGAAGCAGTTGTAGACAGAGGAGTAGTTCTCGTAGTCAGTGTCCAGAATGTGGTACTCGGCTGGGACGTCTGTGGGGGGAGGGGGGAGGGGGGGGAAGGGGGGAAGGGGTTAGAAAAAAAATGGTTTTGCAGTGTAGGATGAGTTATGATGATGATGAGGAGGAGGAGGGGGTAGGAGGGGGAGAAGGAGGAGGAGGTGGAGGAGGAGGTGGGAAGGGGAGGAGGAGGGAGGAGGTGGGGGAAGGGGAGGAAAAGGAGGAGGAGGAATTTGAGGAGGGGGAGGAGGAGGAGGGAAGGGGGAGGAATAGAGGGGAGAAGGAAAGGGGGAGGCAGGAGGAGGAGGAGGAATGGGAGGGAAGGAGAACGGGGAGGAGGATAAGGATGATGTGTCATTTGTCTCACTCTATCTCTTTCTTCTTTCTTCCTCTCTCTTCTCTCTCTCTCTCTCTCTCTCTCTCTCTCTCTCTCTCTCTTCTCTCTCTCTCCTCTCTCTCTCTCTCTCTCTCTCTCTCTCTCTCATTACAATGCATGGAAATACATCACGACGACAACAGTACATAAATAATACATGACAATGATGATGATAAATAATATGAATTCCTAATAATACATAAATGATGACGATGCCGACGACGACGATGAATGACGATGAAGATGATGATAATGATAATGATAACGATAATGATGATAAAGATAATGATGATGATGATGATTGTGATAATGATAACGATAATGATGATAAAGATGATGATGATGATAGTGATAATATGATGATGATGATAGTGATAATGACGATGAAGATGATGACGATGATGATGACATGACTCACATCCGCCAAACTCGACGAGGAGGACGCCAGGCTCGATGACATGAGCTTGGCCAACGATGTCAGTGAAGTCACCATAGGAAGTCCTGGCTGTGTTGTGGACTTCGACGTATCCGTTGCCTGAGGGAGAGAGAGAGAGAGAGAGAGAGATGAATGGATGAAGAGGTAAAATTGGGGTGGATTAAAAAGGGAGAGGAGAGAAAGAGGGATAAATGGATGAAAAATTGATGAGAAAAGGGAGAATTCATAAGGAAATGACAATCATTCAAATTCCATAAAAATAAAAAAATAAAAAATAAAAAACAGAAAGAGAGAAACATACAAAAAAAAGATAAAGCAAGAAAGAAATATATATATAAATATATAATATATATATATATATATATATATAGATAGATAGATAGATAGATAGATAGATAGATAGATAGATGATAGATAGATAGATAGATAAATAGATAGATAGATAGATAGATAGATATAGATATATAGATATACAGATGTATAGATATATGTATAACAAAACCCGAAAGAAAATAATTACCCATGTCACTATAGAGGGCGTTGACACAGTCCATGCCCGACTGGAAGAGGATGTCATACCGCTCGTATTCGAACCAGCGGCCGAGGTACTGAGGGCAGAGGAGGGGTCAGAGATACATAAAGATACATTGAAGATACACTGAGGATACATGAAGATACATTGAGGATACATGAAGATACATTGAGGATACATGAAGATACATTGAAGATACATTGAGGATACATGAAGATACATTGATACATAAAGATACATTGAGGATACATGAAGATACATTGCGGTATTGATACATAAAGATACACTGAGGATACATGAAGATACATAAAGATACATTGCGGTATTGACACATAAAGACACACTAATAATTCACCAGTGAGAGGCGATTGTGGAGATGCATTGATAGATAAAGATACATTGAGGATACATGAAGATACACAGCGGCAATGATACATAAAGATACACTGCATCTGCGTCGCGAGAGATCAACCCCACAAGATAAACCTCCCTGCAACGTTGCAATATGAAAATCGGAGCAAGCGACGCCGTGCATTAATAAACCAAGGCGAAATGCATGCGAAAGGGAGACGAAACGATAAGAAAAAGAAAAAGAAATAAAAGAAAAAAAAGAACAGCCAACCGGAAGGGTTTTCCCCTCAAAGACTATTTTCATCTAAGAATTTCTTCAAAAGATTTTCAATTATTTTTTTTCGTAAGGAAAGTGAATTAGACGTGAAATGGGTGGCGATGATTATAGGGGAAGGAAGAAAGAAACGGCATAAAGAAAGAAAATAAAGGAAAAGTGGAAGAAGGGGGAAGGAGAGAAGGTAAATGCCAATGGACATTTCTTCTCTCTCCATTATTGTCCATTGAGTTTCCTAGCGTGGTGAAAATTGTATTTTCTCTCTCCTCTCTCTCTCTCTCTCTCTCTCTCTCTCTTCTCTCTCTCCTCTCTCTCTCTCTCTCTCTCTCTCTCTCTCTCTTTCCTCTCCCTTTCTTTCTCTCTCTCTCTCTCTCTTTCTCTCTCTCTCTCTCTCTCTTTCTCTCTCCTCTCTCTCTCTCTCTTTCTTTCTCTTTCTTCTCTCTCTCTCTCTCTCTCCTCCTCTCTTTCCTCTCTCTCTCTCTTCTCTCTCTCTCTCTCTTCTCTCTCTCTCTCTCTTTTCTCTTCTCTCTCTCTCTATCTCTCTCTCTCTCTTCTCCTCTCTCTCTCTCTCTCTCTCTCTCTCTCTCTCTCTCTCTCTTCCTTTTTTTACAAGTAGCGGGGGAGGGGAGGGTAAGGGAGGGAAGCAAAGGTTGTCAAATATTCACTTTTCAATTATATACCTTTCCGATTGCCAAGTGCACTAAGTGAAGAATTTAATTTTGTTTCAATGGCCTCGTTTTGGACGACTGTGCCGAAAACGGGGAATAATTATGGGGCATTTTCCAAGTTAGAAGGAAACGGGAAATAATCTGGGCAGTTTCGGAGCCTAAGAGAAAATGGGAAATAATCCGGGCAGTTTCGAGTCAACAGAAAACGGGATTTCGAGTCAACAAGAAAATGGGAAATAATCCGGGCAGGTTCGAAGCCTAAGAGAAAATGGGAAATAATCTGGTCAGTTTCGGAGCCTAAGAGAAAATGGGAAATAATCCGGGCAGTTTCGGAGCCTAAGAGAAAATGGGAAATAATCCGGGCAGTTTCGGAGCCTAAGAGAAAATGGGAAATAATCCGGGCAGTTTCGAGTCAACAGAAAACGGGATTTCGAGTCAACAGAAAACGGAAAGGACGAGGATTCCAGAGTTTAGGAATTCCAATCTAAAAACATAACCTGCAAACGGAACGCGTATTTTACATGTTGATTTGGGAGCGCGTGCATGGAATAAAAATGAGAATGAGAAATAAATAGATTGGGAAAAAGAAACAAGCGAAATGGTTTGTTAACTGAGGTTCATTTGGTGGTTTAGGGTCACGTGACTTCAAATGCAGGTTGGAGAGTTTGTTATCATCGTTATTGTTATTATTATTATCTTTAAGGTTATTATCTATTTATTTATATATTGGTTACTATTATTAGTATCTTCATGGTTATTCAACACCATTGAATACGGCTATAACAAGTAAAAACATAGACAATAATTTATATAAACAATGATAATTAGTATATACATATACAGTATATTTTTGTCTGTATACATGTATATATACATACATATACGTATACATATACGTATATATATATATAATATATATATATATATATATATATATATATATATATATATATATATATTATTATTTATATATATATATAATATATATATATATATATATATATATATATGTATATATATTATATATATATATATATATATATATATATATATGTATGTATATATATACATATATATATATATATATATAATATATATATATATATATATATATATATGTATGTATGTATGTATGTAAACTAAAGAACGAAATGACCGTCATGTACTTACAGGCACGGCATCAAAATCGGCCTTGTTCGTGATGTTGGGGCAGATGCCCAAGCTGACCTGGCGTCCGATGAGGTTGGCTGCCAGTGACCCCGAGAACAGGGCTGCCAACAGGGCCAGGGGTGCCATCCAGGTTCCGCGAGACATCTGGCGAGAACGGAAATATGGAGTTATGTTTATATTAATGTGTGATGTAGGTTTATATATTTATTGTGTATGTTATGTGCACTTTATGCATATGTAATACACATATGTGATACATGTGTGGATACATACACACACATAGACACACACAAACACGGATGTACACACAGACACACACACACATATACATGCATATATTTAGCTTGTATCATATTTAGATTTTTTACATATTACAATTATATGAATTTGTGGGTCTGGAATGTTGCAGAAATAGGTGGAGAAAGACACAGTGAATTTTACTCGAAAAAGTGTTTTAGTGGCATTAACTACATATACCATTTGAATGAAGTAAATTTTTTCAATCTTTACTTGTATTTGTAAACAACCCTTCAAATTGGAATTATAGAAAGGCATCTACATCTTTCTTCACTTCCTTTTGTAAATAAGACATTATGTTCATGAATATTGAAAAAAGAGATAAAAATACATACAATCACAAACATACATACACATCACCACAAACGCGTATGTGTGTGTGTTTATATGTGTGTGTGTGTGTAATTATATATAAATATATATATATATATATATATATATATATATATATATATATATATATATTATGGAGAAAGAGAGAGTGGCACAGCAAGACATTTAGGAGCAGGGGAGCAGGAATTAGATTTATTGAAAAAAGTTTTGAAATTCCGCTGGATTTCGAAAACGCTGTCTCACTTTTCACTAAATCTGCTTCGTGCACTGTGGATTTCTCGACCCAAGGGTAGGGTCTCTTGCCTTTCATGAAATGGCACAGATGGCAAAAAAGGAAGGAATATTCACTTATCTGATCTTACACAACTATTGATATTTTCATGTGCGGAAACATTTGAAATTGGGTAGAATGAAAAGGCGTTAATTTGGGCCACTTTCAACTGTGAAAAATAGATCCTACCCTTCGCTATATTTCCTCTGCCACAATTCATATATATACATATTATATGTGTGTGTGTGTGTGTGTGTTTGAGTGCAAGTACGTCCATGTGTGCGTGTGGGTCTACGTCAGTGCATGAGTGTTGTGTTGTGTGTTGTGTGTTTGAGTGCAGTACGTCATGTGTGCGTGTGGGTCTACGTCAGTGCATGAGTGTGTGTGTGTGTGTGTTTGAGTGCAAGTACGTCCATGTGTGCGTGTGGGTCTACGTCAGTGCATGAGTGTGTGTGTGTGTGTGTGTGTGTTTGAGTGCAAGTGCGTGCATGTGTGCGTGTGGGTCTACGTCAGTGCATGAGTGTGTGTGTGTGTGTGTGTTTGTGTCCGTGTGTCACCGTGTTTGAGTGTGCGTGTTTGTTTGTGTGTGTATGTGCAAGTACGTGTGTATGTGTCTCTCTACATCCATGCTTAATGTATCAGCGTATTTATGCGTGTATACGTATCAACAACACAACGCGACCCCGACCGCCCATGCCCGAAAACACCCACCCACTGACCACGCCCACGGAACACCCTCAGCCCTCTCCACTGTACCTTTTCCTCTGCTGTCGATGACTTGACTGTCTCCTCCGTGGTCCGTTCCCCTTTTATACGGAATTTTCAAGTGCCAGAAATCCCCCCCCCCCTTTGGTATCTTTCACACGGACTTGTGTAACGAAA